GTTTAAAAAATATTTTAGAATGTGTTTGGTTAACAGCATTTTAATGAGTTTATGGATTATATAGAAATAAGAATACAAAGAATTATTATTCTTTGCCACTTATCTAACACAAGGTAGTTTTGTTTGGAGTATTTTGAGTTCATGTCCTTTCTTTGGAATTTTTAGAATAAATGTTCTTTTCTGGTGCTAAGAGTAGTTGTAGTGGAGTTCTTGTTCATTGTGTATGAGGTACATTTTTGTGGAAATGAGATGGAAAATTCATCCTGGTCATTTACACTAATGGAGATGAGCATTAGTGTGGATAATATATTTGGATTTTATGTGGTTTATGTGATTATTTTTGCAGCACAATTAACTTCTTGATTAAACTTTAGTCAGCATATATCCTGAGCATATACTGGGTGAAAACTGAGTGATACAGCTATAAAATGATAGCTGCTAATTTAGTTGATAGGTGATCTGGATTCTGGTCTCAGTTTCCACCCGAATATCTGTAAGTCTTAGATAAATTCCCCAACCAGTGTTCTCATCTTTAAGATGAGCTTATACATTGTAATTTTCAAAGGTCCTTTTTGGCTTGTATGAGGGTTTTGTAGTTTGGAAAGCAGAAAAGTGCAGTAATGACACATTCTGGCCACTAGAGGGTGAAGTCCAGCCAATCTTACACTGTTTTTGAGTAGCATTGAAGTGAAAGAGGAGACCTTGCTCCACTGTCCATTTAGGCTAAGTCATCTGCAGCATCTTGCTCTCTGATCCTACATTTATTCAGTATTTTTCTTGTTTTCAACCTTCTGAACAGGACTAGGGCATATTTAAAAAGGAAAAGAGGAGTAGAGGTTTCTAGTTGTCATGATTTCATTTGGTCACCATAGTATAGGTGAGCAAATTTAATTCTTCGTGACCTCTTTCCTCTTCCTAATATAGGCATATGTGCGTGTGTGCACCTGGTTGCATACACACACACACACACACACACACACAACCCTCGTCCATTCTCTCTGAAATTCTGAGGATGAAAACAAAATGTCTGAGACACATAGTAGAATGAGCATGGTACTATACTTGTAATTGTAACCCAGATTTCATTTTTACGTTGTTGGGGGGAATGTAAACTAGTACAATCACTATGAAAATTAGTATGGAAATTCCACATAAACTAAAGCTAGAAATTCCATTCAACCCAACTTGTCCCCTTCTTGGCATCTTCCTGAAAGACATAAAAACATCATATTATAGTGCTTATAGCAGCACAACTCATAATAGTAAATCTTGGAAGCAGCTTACATGTCCATCAATAGATGAATGGATAAGGAAAATGTGGCATTTATTCACAGTGGAGTACTATTATGTTATACAGAAGGATAGGATCCTTCGTTTGTAGGAAAATAGATGTACCTTGAGACCATAATGTTAAGTGAAATAAATCATACAAACACAACCTTAAATATTGCATAGTTTCTCTAATTTGAGAAACCCAAAATATAAATAAAGAGCAAAACAAAAGATAGGTAATGGGAAATAGAGTGATAGATCTTTTGTAAAAAGGAAAGTGGGGGACTAAGTGAAGAAGGAAGAGGGAAGAGAGAGGAAAGGGATGAAAAAAATTAAGATGTGTTACGTACGTGTACCAGTTCCACATGAGGAATATAATTATTATGTACTGCAAATGTAGCAATAAAAATTAAAAAATGTAACCTAGGTTCAAGTCTTGCTTTATCACTTAATGTTTTTGTAACGGTGAACATTAAAACTCAAATCCTCAGTATCCTGATTTCAAAAGTGAAGATGTTGCTGGGTGTGGTAGCACATGCCTGTAATCCTAGCACTTGAGAGGCCAAGGCAGGAGAATCACTGTGAGTTTGAGGCCAACCTGGGCTACATAGTGAGTTCAAGGCCAACCTAGGGAGCTGCATAGCAAGTCCTGGTCTTAAAAAAAACCAAACAAACAAAAACCCAAAAAATGTTGAGTTCTGACCAATACGATCCCTTACAGTAATCTAATATTCTTAAATATAACATCATAATAAAGTGGAATCTTGCATTTTATTTCTTTTTAGATGGGAACAGAGCTACAGTTGTTAAATCACAAATATTAAAGTATTGAAATGCCATACAGAGGCAGAAAGACTGTTGCCATTCTGCTGAGACAAAGGTATAGCTTTACTAGCATAGACTCAGGATAGCATCATTTGAATCAAGAATTGAGCAAGACTAGGAACCAGGTCAGCTAGATTTGTGTGTAGTTAATCAGAGGAGGTCAGTTGGACATGTGTGAGCATAGAGAAAGAGGGCATGTATCTTCTGGGAATCCATATCACAGTGCTGGCATCAAAATCCATTTTTTCCCCGCCACACCAGTGAAAATAACCTTACTGCAGAGTCCAGTTATATAAGTCTGAGTTGTTGTCTGAGACCTCAGGATAACATGGAAGGAACAGAAGGTGTGCAGTCTTAAGTAGATAAGCTGAGATGAGTGTTTAGAAGGTAACAGACAAAATGGGCACAGAAATGTGCCTATGAAAATAGGCAAGGATTAGTATTTACAGTTTCATATGTACACAAGAGAGGAGAAGCCAGTCAGATAAGAATACCATTTTAGGATTATGTATAAAAGACAGGATTTTAATCTGGCTTGGTTTTAATCATCCTTGCTGTTGGTAGACAAATCTACAAATCTAAAGCTCCACACATATTTGAGGTTGGTTAATTATATCACTGACAAACTCTAGATGGTTTAATGGTTCTAAGAGCTTCACACTCCACTGCATGCACATATTCACAGATCTGCTCACCACTACTACAGAGTTCATTTCCCAGAAAAGAACTGGCTAGTAGAAACTTTGGCAGGCAAGGTAGCTTTTCAAGTACTGCTAGGAATGGAGCCCAGTTGTTCCCTTTGGGCTTTGAGCTGTTGGAATTCATTGTGTTAGCAGCTAGAAAGAATGGAACTGTAACATTTTTACCCTAGTTTGTGACAGCAAAGCAGAGGTGTTAGGATTTCTGTTCTAGAGGTTTACACTGAAAGTAACTTAACTTGATTGTGTGTCTTAATATTACTGGGTTTCTGACCGCTGAAATATGGGTTGGATCGATGGTGGTTTGGAGAAAGTAGAAAGAGGGCTATCCATCATTCAGAGGCTCCATAGAAGCTGGCTTATAATGCTGCTTTCACCAAGCAGCCATCTGTCCATCCATCCATCAGCAGGATGAAATGAGATTTAGCGGAACAGGCAGCCGTAACTCTGAGACATTTTCTAACCAACAATTGCAGATCTGGCTTGAATCTGACCACAAAGCACAGCACTGGGGTTTAGCATGGTGTGGCAGCAAGCACAGTCTTCCTGTCACTGCCAGCATATAGTATATTCAGCATTTTCAGCACTAAGTCTTACTTCCCATATAAAATTTGGCTAAACTTGGGATGACAAGGAGATAGTTTTCTTTCCGCTCTAGACTATTTTACAAGTTGAGCAGACTCTTTTGATGGAAAATATTTTTGTTTAACAGTGTAGATATTTCTTCTGGCAATTCCCCAATCATTATGGTATTGAGAGATGAGTTAAAATTAAAAAGAGAATTCAGTGGATTTTTTGTTTTATACAAATTCTTTTTTCTTAAATTTTATGTCTAGATTCTTAGGTAGTAAAAATTGAATTTTCATTCTTTACATTAACAGTGCTAATAGGAAAGAAAATATAAACAAAATGTATAAAAGATGAGAAGCAAGAAGCTTGGGTACCTAAATGGGTACTTACTCTCTGAATAGGTGAATATTAACCAAAATATTATTGACTAAATCTTCCTGGATTGCTCAGCTTTTATTGCACACCAAACCTTCTGAAGAGCCTGTTGGTCAGTATAGCATTTTGTGCTTATGTTGTCTATCCTGGTATCTGTTTTTACTCATGGTTGGCTTCCTTGGCTGTTTTCTTAGTGGTCATCTCTGACCTCAGCTCCTGCTCTTTGTTCTAAAGCCTTGAGTTTTACTTCAGATCGAGGGAGGGGTTGAGGGAGCCTAATGTACCGGAGATACTTCGGAAATGAGAGCCTTGGATGAATTCCTGGGCTTATTGATCCACCAGCAGTTTATGCATCCTGACATTCATAATCTCAGTAGGCTGCTGATGTTCCTGATTAATGGGCCCAGGGGCTGTCCATCCGTCACTTCACATTAATTACCGAAGAGGTGTTTTTCCAGTGATTTACCTGACAGTGGGCTGTGATAAATACCTCTAAGCAGAGTGGGCAGTGATTAATCACAGGGCCACACCCCTCCCCCACTCTTACTTTCCCCTAACCACAGGCCAGCACTGGGACCTGACCAAAGAATGCCCCCTCCCTATAAGCTATCTATCTCCATAATTGCTGTGGATGCATATTTATTGGGGCATGGTACCTGGCAGATAGCATTTTAGAGTCTGTGCCAAAGATGATGAAAAATAAATCTTCGCAGTAGGAAGAGTAACTAACATGTTTTTACATAGGGCAGGTAAATGTATATGAACTGCCCTTAACGTTACTTTTAAAAATTTGAGAGGAAGAATTGCCTACCTACCATGCATGTATTTGGCACTGTGATAGTAGTTGCTTTGCAAGCTTCAAAAAGAGGAAAAAGGAAGCTATTGTCTGACATTTGTAGTCTATGCAGGGAGGACATGTGAACAAGTATGGGAATTTACAGACAGCTTCAGGATGCTAATATAATCAAGGGCAGACTAGGATAGAAGTCTAGTGTTCCATTTCTTTGTGGACTTAATAAATGAAGGTTGGTTAAAATATTTTAGTGTTTTCTATGTGTCCAGCACTATTCAACTCTGGAAATAGGAAAATGAGCATTATAACAGTTGCAAATCTCAAAGAAAAAAATCTAGTGCCCTTTGCCTTAATTTCTCTAAGTATAAAATTTTCCCAGGAAGTTATTGAATTAATTTAAGATTAATATAGAATTTTAGGTGATTATATAATTAATTTTTGCATTTTTTCTCTGCATATTTATTTAGTACTGTGTTCACAGGAAAACAAGAAGCATATCTGCCTTCAAGAAATGTATAAAGTATGAGATGACATTCAGAGATGCATTTTTTTTAAAGCGTCAAGGTCTCATCAGGTCACCCAGGCTGGCCCCAACTCCAGGACTCAAATGACCGGCGTACTACCTCAAGCTTCCGAGTAGTTGGGACCACAGGTGTGTACCATGGAGCCTGTCTGTACATGCAAAATGTAAACAAGAATTTCAGGTAGTATATAATGATAAATGAATATTTTAGATGATTGAATGCATTATTCACAGAAGGGTAAAATCATTGTACCTTCAAATAGTTATAGGAAAAAGCTAAATTTGAGGTAAACCTTTTGAATTTATAGTAACTAGGGCTATTTAAACTGGAATAATGTAAGGAGAGTATTTGAGAAGTTGGAAGAAACAAGGTTGTGATCATATGAGATCATCCTGCCTAAGATGGAGGATTTTTATCTAAGAGTGGTAGAAATATGAAATAAGATTGACATAAAGTTTGTATCTTGTAGGCTGTGATGAGTCACTAAGGGTGTGTGTGTGTGTGTTGCTGGGGGTCAGAATTCACACATGATAGGCTGACACTCTACCACTGCTTTACCAAGCCTCCAGTCCTACCAGAGGGTTTTTCTTAATGTCTGCTCTACCCTTACCCATAGGTCTTCCCTTTGAACTTACATTTCAGAAAAGGTATCTCACCATGCTTTAACTCTTCTTCCAAGTAGCTGATCGTTGTTAGTTGTTCCTTGAAGGTTTCTAACCTTAATGGAGGATCTTCCATTGGTTTGAGTTAGTCTCAGTTTTAGGTGAGTGCTTCGGTTTTCTCTGGGTCTCAGACTTTTTTTTTAGTGATTCTATCTATTCTTTAGTGGTCAAAGTTTTTGTTTATTTGTTTTGTTTTATTTATTTCCCCGGGCTGCAGTGGGTTTTGCTTTTAACCTAAGGGTTAATGCATTTACTACCTTTGCTCTCCAGCCACTTAAGAGTTTTTCTGTATTGGAAGTAGGAAAGAAAAATCTAGACAGGTCTTGGTACTCTTTGCACAGGGTCTACTGTTTTCTTCCAAATGTGTGTCTGTGACCTTGCCTGTAGTTTTTCTTTTGAGCATCCATTGAGGTCTGTGGGGAAGATTCTATGAGAGGGTGAGAATTCCCTTTGTTTCTATAGTAATGAAGGGGTCTGCATTTTCATGGCAGTTCACATTTGGCATGTAGTAATTTTTAAAACATTTTAATTGAATTCTTCCAACTGGCTTGTTTGGTGTTCACTATTTACTAGAGTCAAATACATGTCTCTGTTTTTTTTTCCCCTGGTACTAGGAATCGAACTCACGACCTTGTGCTTGCCAGGCAGGCGCTATGCCGCTGAGCTAAATCCCCAGCTCCAAGTACATGTCTCTATGTTCTCTCTCCTTTGAAGAGCCTGTGCTTCCTTAAATTTGAGGTAGATTTTTGTCCTTAGATTTTGGGCTAATAGCTTTATGACATGCAGATGATAAATTTTCTTGAATCCAGCAAAGTAATAAGGCCACTCTTCTTGATTTAGGAAAATTTGTGATTTTGTACTCATTTGAAGATGCAATGTTCATGGTTAAAATACTGTTTAAGTTTATTCCTTCCGGTATTTACCCTCGTTACGTTTGGTTGTTCATACATTCATTAATTTGATTTTAAAATATCAAGTTTATGCTACGTACCTGGGCATCAGGAAGACATGATCCCATCTCTAATGAGCGTGTAATGTAGTGTGGACAACCAGGTAAGAAGCACTTTACTAAACATCTGATAAGAGCTGTCATAGAATGTATGGAAGAAACACCCAGTGTAATCTGGAATGATTAGTTAAGGCTTGAGGTAGGAAATGTGCATGCACACAAGCTTTGAACAAGCACTCACACATACATTATGATGGAGACCTAAAGATTATGAAGGGATCTGAAAGAAATTCACTGTGGCTACAGCATACAAAGACAGAGGTGACAAAAGCTAAAATTAGAGTTGACTGGAGCCAGGTCAGAAAGAATCTTGTAAGCCATGTAAAGAAGTTGATTTTATCATAAAAATAATGGGAAGTCATGGAAAAGTTTTAGGGAGGGAGGGGGATATCTAAGCAGCTAATTGTTTTAAAAGGTGCATTCTGGATGCACGGTGAGCTCTGAATGGAACTGAAGCAAAACAGACCAGAGTGATGGTCTGTGTTGGTTTAACCTAGAGCAGTGGCCTTAGGGATAGGAAACATTAGGCAGGTTAAAAAGATACTTAGGTATGAAGATTGGTTGAACTTGTCTATTGGTTGACTGTGAAGATTGAGGGAGAAAGAAGACTTGAAGGATAGTCAGTGAAAGTTTTGATATATTCTACAGAACCTTCAAGTTTTCTTCTTTGAGAGGAAGAGTAGAATAAAAGATCTTTGGTTGACTTTAATAATTGCTAGCATTCATGACCCATGGTTTAAAATTAATTGAGGCTTTGGATGGAAAAGGGGAAAAATATATAAATGATTTGAATGCCATGCAAGTTAAGTTCTCTTGCCTGATTGTCTTTTAATATTTTAAAAAACAGAAGACATTTTGCTTCTTTCAGTTTTGATGTTTTGCCTGTTGGCATATGAGCAAATAAAATCTGCCAATGGCTTCCTTATCCTGTTGGAACAAAAATAACATACAGTGGATCCCTCAAACAGCTGTCTCATATAGAGAGATTCTTAATCACATTTAGTCACATAACTTCCTTGTTTTTCCAGAGAGTTTTACTCAACGTTTGGTGTGGTGGATATTACGTAAACCTTTATTATCTGTATTGAAAAGTTCATGTCTTCCCAGGCTCCAGAGTCACCTCAGGTAGTAATCACTGCCACTAATTGGCAAGACTTATTCAGAACATAGTTCTGGTTGCCAACACTGTTTTCATAGTGGTGGAAGGGCAAAGTGTAATTTTCAGGATAGGAAATGTTAGTGATAAACAGCCTTCATGTCATTCAAAATATCAGTAGTTGAGATGGGAAGGTATGCATATAGCTTATGAAGGTGAACACTTTTTTCAAAATGATGAAATTAAAAACAAATATATATTATTACAATGGTATTGAATCAGAAAATTTAGAGTTGCTTTGTTGAGGTTATACTGTAGAATAGAGTTGTGAGCAAGTACTAGTATGGATATTAGACTGTCAATTCAGACTACTATCCTTACTAGCTAGATGAGTGATCTCCTCATGCATAAAATGGTAACAATAATTGTACATTCTTGAAGGAGTTGTTTTGGTGATTAAGTTATTTATATGAGCACTTAGCCCAGTGCTTCTTCATTTATTGATGACTTTTTTTTTGCAGGGGGCTTAGTGGGTAGAGCACTGGCAAAGCATACTCAAGGCCCTGGGTTTGATGCCCAGCACTGCAAAAACAAACAAAACGAAATTTAAGCTCTATTGCCATTTATAGTTTCCTAAATCTAACAAGGTTTTTATAATGTCAGAAACAGTTCTTAGTACTTTTCAGCATTTCTCATAGTTGGAGTGTCTATGTATTTCCCATCTGCAAAAATGGGTGGTGCTTTAAGAAATGCAGTCATCTGTTTCTTACATACTTTTGAGAAAGGTCTATGAAAAGACCTCAAATGAGTGTGTACTTGGCTTATTTCTCCTCAGTCCAGGTATGTTAAAGAATAGGCTAGTGTAATTTCCTCCATTATTCTGTAATATTACAAATTATTGTCTTATTCTCTTAATTAAAATTGTAATGCATATTTTATGCAGTCTGGTTTGAGTAGGAGAATGAACTTCCAAATGGATGTAGGAATTGTTTTGTGTTTTCAAGTGTGCAGTAAAAATACTACAGTAAGATGGGCATGGTGGCACCTGTGTGTAATCCCAGCACTTGGGAGGCTGAGGCAAGAGGATTGCTATGAGTTCGAGGCCAGCCTGGACTACATAGCGAGACTCTGTCTCTAAAAAACAAAGGCTGGGTGTGGTGGCACAGGGTTGTAATCCCAGCACTCGGGAGGCTGAGGCCAGAGGATCGTTTCGAGTTTGAGACCAGCCTGGGCTACCGAGTGAGCTCAAGGCCATCCTCAACTGCATAGCGAGACCTTGTCTCAAAAAGACCAAAAAAAAAAAATTAAATGAACAAAAAAACCCAAAAATAATACTACAGTAGAATCAGTTGTAGTTTATTAGCATATTTTAAAGATTCTCTGCTAGTCAAGTATAAGTTTTTATGTTAGAGAACCACAGAATCTACTGTGTTTTGGTTAAGCCTGTTGTAAGATGAAACTCTTACTGCAAGGGATAGGCATTTCATAGTTTTCCTGTTTGCAAGTGCTTTGTGCTTGGCATTGGGAGTGGAGGATCTTGAAAGTGTGGAAAGATTTATTATATTACTAATTTTATTATTCTGCTAAAGAATATTCCTGATCAGGTAATATAATGTACTGATGTTTTACTGTTTTACTTTGCCTTTTATTTTACTTTATAACCAAAATGCCATGTCATGTAGAATAGAGAACATGTCCTATGCCTGTTGTCTAATTTCTGACTTTAGTGTGCTGTTAGAATAATGTCTTTCAAACTCTCAGTCCAATGAATTAATTGAGTGAATCAGTTGATTTTGAATTATGAGAATTTTTAAATGAAAATTGAATAGATGAAAATAAAGGCCAGTGTATTTATTTGAGGGTATTTTGTGGACTGTAGTGAATTTAAAAACTTCAGCACAGGGGCTGGGGATTTAGCTCAGCGGCAAAGCGCCTGCCTGGCAAGCACAAGGTCGTGAGTTCAGTTCCCGGTACCGGAGAAAAACCAAAAAAAAATAAATAAATAAAGACAAGTAATGCTTCCTTGAGCTCAAAGTCTTACAAAGTAATTCAGGCCAGCTACTTGTACATTAATTTTCTAATGCAAAACAGG